CGGGTGAACGAACATGGCTAATTCGTCTCGGAATTTTACGCTGATCAAAAATACATATACTTTGTTATGTCTAAAATTTAGGTTATGTCTGATTTACAGATTCAGCAAAATCTTCCAAAAATACCGAAGACCGTGAGGTGTCGTTATATGAAGGCTATACCTAAGCACAAACCGATATTTTCCAATTTCAATCGAACACATAATATTTAAATAAAAAACAATTCCCGTTATGCACTTTTCAGCTTAAGAAAACAAAAATTATTCATAAAATATGCTACGTGCGGAGTGTCACACGGAGGCCATATTCCAAACATATTCCGCTTATGCACGCTCCAGCTTTAGAAAGCAAAAATGGTCCATGAAAATGTACCACGTGCCAAGTGTCACATTGAGGCCGTATCAAGACATTGACCTCTTGTGGCAGCTACCCCATTGTCTTCACTTTCATTCAATGGCATGGCAATGATAATTTACATTTTTTTCTTTTTCAAATCTGAATATAACTTAAGTGCCCCCACTTCCTAAAACAAGTTATTAAAAAGGCCGAATGCGCATTAGCAACACGTGTAAGATATAAGGTCGTCGCCCTTAAACCTTTTTGAAGACAACACTTAACAGCTTGGAAACTATTCCCGACGAAATGCAAGAGTGCAAGTTTCGATGCTGGTTTTTCGCTGGACGCTGATTTTGTGAATCTCAAAACCAGTCTTTATATTGTTCGAATCACAACTTTCTTCCTTATTTTAACCTATATTGCTAAGGCATCCTATCTATGATTATGCTTAGTTCCGGGGTAGTACATGACAAATACACTGTAAAAATGAAAACGGAAAGTTCGCAACCCTCAGCTGGCGGTGTTGCTGGTACTGCGACAAATGCTGCTGCAAGGCTACGTTCAGGCGAATATTTTGATTTCTTTCCATGTTTTGCTAAGATTATAGAATATCAATTAAAAACCAATTGGGCTTGAAAATGTGGTTAAAGTCCATATTAGACTGGTTCTAGTGGGCGCCGCTATATAAAGCTCAATTCAAAATTCGGATCGATATTAAAAAATCCGTAGGGAGAATAACAAAACTGCTTAGTCGACATTGAATTTTACTTTGATCAACAATGTAAGCACCACATGGGTTCCAAGCGAATATTTCGAGGTGCCACAAAATCAATGGTAAAATAAATAAGCCCCCTCGTATGGGGGGTATAAGAGAGGGATAGTTAAGTTTGGCCTCCGGAAAACTTCATACCCTGAAGGTGGAAAAAAAATTCATAAGGGGTGTCCCACATAGAACCAATTTTTAAATTAAAACCGACCATGTGATACCCTACAACACTACAATATGTTACAAGCCCCCTTATGTCCAAATCCATTTTGGAAGATTTCTCTTTTGAAATTAAGTCACGGAGCACTACCCAGATATTACTAGCATTTTGACCAGGGACATTTAACCAATATTTACGAACTTCGTCGTGCTGTTAGTTAGTGGTCCATTTTACAGATTTTATAGACTTCTTCCCTGTCCCTAACTTTCTTCTTAGGCGTGTCGATTGGCTTCAATTGTGTGATCAGGAAATTTTCCCTGTTTTTGAATATTGTGCGATCATCTCCAAAAGCAAGAGGTTCCTCTGTATTTCTAAATTTCGACTCATCTATATGATTTGCTTGTCTGGATATTTGCCTATATTCGTCAACGAAATCAGCAAAAAAATGCAGAAGTTCGCATTTTGTGTATTTCGGCTATCGCCTGTAAGTAATGTTGGTATTTTTCAGACAAAAGTAGTGGTTCATTCTACCCGCTGTCCTAAACTCTAACTTCATGCAAGATTTCGAATCCATTAGTTTCTATTTGTGACCTTTATAACGCAAAATCAGGAACATTTTAGTTGCTGGTCCATTTTAACCCCTAAATATATTGCGGACATCTTTGAAAACAATAGGCCTAGCCCTTCTGAGCCTAACCCTACCCTCTTCGTGAGGATCGGACGATAATTGCAATCTGTATATAATATCCCAAACCTATGTTGTTACGTGGAAAAATATTACAAAATGTATACCTTAATATTATAAGTCAAAATGAAAAAATCTCATGCGATAAAAAATATGAAAAAATAAAAAAATGTCACAAAATACTACAAAATCTATATTAACATATCATTTTTGACTTATTTTTATGCGATTTTTTTAGATTTTATACTTTTATGTCAAGAGCGCGTTCTGAATTGGCAAAATTTGTCAAAATCGGTCCAGCCATTCTTGAGATAAAAGCATTCTAGCTAACATCCCCTTCCTTTGTATATACACATTGTATATATTTCGCTATATATATCCGATATATTCGATATATCGGTATCTACGTAAGGGTCAGAATTGACCTGTTCGTCTATTAGTGATTTCGCCGGCATTAAAAATGTTCGCGGTTTAATGGAAATTTTACTTTTATTTAACACAAATGTATAGTCTTTTTCACCCACTAAATATTACCTAATGACCATCAAAATTGGAAGGCTTCTGCCCAGCCCGAAGCTCTAGTCCCATGCTAATTTCCGCGTCGATTGGTCCATAATTGCAACCTGTAGAGCAACTGTAAAATCAAGAAATTTTTCAGTTTTTGGTCCATTTCGATCATCTCCAAAAGAAATAGGGTTCTATTCTGACCATAACCCCACCTCCATTCAAATTTTCGTGAAGATCGGGCCATAATTGCGACCTGTAGAGTGATTACAAATTAACATGGACAGACGGACGGACGGACATACATAGCTAGAACCACTCAGCTCGGCGAGTTAGGAAGATCCATATATACTTGCCTATGTGGGAAACCAATATTTCGAGTTGTTACATAATTTTTGGCCCAATCAAACTTATAATACCCCCAACACATAGTGTTGTAGGGTATAAAAACACATATATTTAAAAAGTCTTGAACCGTTCCAATGACCGTTTTGAATAAATGCTGTGGTATTTCATGAACATAGCGTCAAATTTTCTCTTTTAAGGCTTCGGTCGTCTTCGGCTCATTGGCATAAACCATTAACTTCAGTCGGTTTTGCCGACAGATGTATATCCTCAGTTATGTGAAATTTGAAGAGAATCGGATGCTTATTTCACTGCCTTTGAGCGTTTTGTTTTTCAAAATCTTGAACCCTATGTGGGGGAGGTACCAGAAGGAATTTTCCGATCTCTACCATCTTTATAACAGATATTGTGTTAATGGAAATATAATGATGTACCAAGTCTGAATGAAATCGGATGTTATTTTCCGGTTTCATGGATATTCAAAATGTTGACCCTATGGGGGGGGAGGTACCAAAAGGAGTGGACCAAAATATTCCATATTCAAATAAGATCTTGTGTTAGTAGAAATAATGTAATGTGTGAAGTATGAAGAGAACCTGATGCTTATTTCGGATTTTATAATCGTTTTGGTTATACAAAACTTTGAACCTCCGTGCGGGAGGTACCAGAAGGAATGTTCCGATCTCTACCATTTTTATACCCTCCACCATATGGAGGGTATATTAAGTTCGTCATTCAGTAACTCATCAAAATAATAATTTTAGGCCCAACAAAGTAAGTATTCTTGATCAGCGTAAAAATCTAAGACGATTTAGCCCTGTCCGTCCGTCTGTTTTAATCACGCTACAGTCAAAACGAATTAAGATAGAAAACTAAAATTTTGCAAAGATCTGCCTTTTATCTGCAGGCAGGTCAAGTTCGAAGATGGGCTACATCGGTCTAGGATGTCGTATAGCCCTCATATTACGGTACCCCCCGCGATATTCGTTAATTTGATGATTTTAGCCACATTTTTTAACGGAATTGTCTTTAAATCCACACAAGGGGAGAAGGAAGAGAATTATCTGAATTGTCCCACGTTTCAGTATAGCGCCCACATAGCGGTACCCCCAGATATTCGGTATTTTCATGATTTTTGCGACATTATTCACCGGAATTGTTTTAAATTTCGTATATGACACAAATTACTTATGCAGGACCACGTCTTCGTAGAGCCCCCATTTGACGGTTTTCATTTGAGCGGTATTTTTCGACGGATTTTTTGTTTTAATTTTTCAAGCTTTTTCCAAATGGTGGAGGGTATAAAAAGTTCGGCCCGTCCAAACTTAGCTGCTTTTTTATTTGCTATAAGATATCTTATATTGATAGAAATAGGATTATAGAATTGGATTTTAATTTCTAGTTTTATGAGCCTCATGGATATTCAAAAATTTGACCCTTTGTGGGGGAGGTACCATAAGGAGTGGACCGATATATTCCATCTTCACACCAGACTTTGGGTTAATAAATATACTGTGATGTGTGTAATTTGAAGACAATCGGACTTTAACATCACATTTTATAAGAGTTGTAATCATTCCAAAATTTGACGCTTTTAGGGGGGAGGTACTTAATGGAGTGAACCGTTTTTATCCATTTTCGCACCTGACATAGCACCGATTCAAATATTAGGATTCGCAATGTTGGAGCAAAATCGGGTTGTCCTTTCTCTTTCTGTGCAATAAAATATCTTTTTTTTTTTTTTTTTGTTAAATTCGAATTTTTGTTGTGGGTGGTACCAGAAGTAGTGGGTCGATATTGTCCATCTCGAAACTCGATCTAAGTGTGATAATAATATTACGATGTACCAAGTTTGGACCAAATCGGATGATTCCTTCGGCCAGACAGATAGACGGACATCACTAGATCGACTCCATATGTCCAGAAACGGTTTTGGTCCAAGGAAGACCCTAGGTCTCCGTTATTTCAATGAGGCACGTTTTGGCCTCTCTAGCCATATGGCTAAGGGTACAATTAGTTTGTACAATTTTTGTAATGAATCAATTGCAAATGTTTGTGGATGTTGTGTCATCCAGCAGAGAACATTTCAGTTGTGTTTTCGTTTCCACTCACGTACACAAAAAGTACGAAACAAAACACAAATCCCGTCTGCTGAGTATTCGTGTTATTTCGTACTTCGAGAAAAATGTAGAACGAAACGATTGCAAACGTTTCATATAGTTTATTTTCGTACTCTGCCTATCATTCCTAGATTCAAAGAACATAAATAAAACCGACATTGAATGTTTTAATAATTTAAAGGTTTCTTTATTTTAAAATCCAGGATAATAAAGTTGTGGAGAATAGCGAACAGGAACTGGTGGCGCAGCAGGAACACCATAGCGGGTAGTAGTTCCATCTTTGTTTGCATTAATCAGATCAACAATTATTTTTATTATCTCCTGTAACTCTTGTTCTTTTTGCGCAGATGATTTAGTTGTCGTGGCGGGTGCTGCTGTTGTAGTGGGTGCTGTAGTTGGAGCAGTTGCTGGTGGAGTTTGGGGAGTGGGTTGACCTGGCTGCGAATTTCCATAATTGTATTTGTCGTAATAGCCATTACCACCAGCACCACCATAATTTCCATAATTGTATTTGTTGTAAGAACCATAACCACCAGTGCCAGTACCAAAACCACCTCCACCACCACCTCCACCAAAAAGACCCAACTTATTGAAGAAAAATGTCCTGTCATCGACATATGGTAGTGGCGAACTGTATGTACCACCTACTGGATAATTTACAGGTCCCGGAGGTGGATACTGATATGGAGCTGCTTCTGATAACACATATCTCGTGGTCAGCAGAACCAATGCACAGTGGTCGAGGTCGTATGGGAACAGCGGCCAAAAATACTTTCAGTGCAGATATCAATATGAATCTTTGGTTATGGTATTTTGATGGGATGAATATAAAAAATGTGACAAAATGGATATGGTCGATGCATGTTTTGACATGGTCCCCATATAACGTACCTCCCGAATAAGGGTTATTTGCCCAATTCTTGTCACATTTCTACACCAGATTGTAATGTTATTTTACATTTTACGTTCTAAGGAGCTAAAAAATAATCTTACTGAAAATTATTTGGAACAGCCCGCCATCAGGTAGAGTCCCTTGTAAGGTACCTCCAAAAATAGAAGCATTTTTTATACAAATTAAGTCCAAATTTGATTATTTTTTGTAAACAAAATAAAATAACAATTTAATGTAAAATTAAATCAAAGATAAATTTTGCACAAATAATTAGTTTGACTTAAGGCCCTATTGAAATTGGATATAACCGGTCAAAATTTAGGTATAGCTCCCATATATATTCATCCAATTTGCCTTATATTGTGCACCAAACCTGTAATATCAGCCCAAATAACATGAAATATACGTACGACCAGATGGGACCTGAAAATAAGTATGCCAAATTTGATCGAAATCGGTTCAGATATATATATATAGCTCCCATATATATTGTTCATCTGATTTGTAATTTTTTGTCCTCCGCAGCCGTAATATGCACTCTGTGACAACGATATTTGGGGAAATATATCGAATATAGCTCTCATATATATCTATCCGATTTCAAGTTAATTGTGCACCAAATGGATAATACAACCCCGAATTGAAAAGGCGCAAATGCCTCGACAAATTTAATAGAAATCGATTCAGAGGAGGATATTCCTCCAATATATTAGTTCCTTTGGACTTTTAATTATTACTATAATCATTGTTGGTATGATTTAATTCTCACAAATTCCCCATTAAAACCTTTATTTGTTATGTGACGCTCTACTAAATATGCAAAGTGGTGTAGGGTATCATGAAGTCGGCCCCGCTCGACTTTAAGACTTTATTTACTGGTTATTGTTTGATAAGGCTCGCTGTCCCATTATAAAAGGGTCAGAACTCAGAAGAAGACGGTTAATAAGATCTGTGTTTTTTGAAACATTTTCGTTTCAAATTTTTTCGGGCATGATTTAGTCGAAACTTGGAAGATAGTGCCATGGATATAAATTTGTTAACTTTTTCGATATAAATATTATACCCAGAGGACAATGCTAGCAACATTATTGAACACCCCTCAATTACATACTTATCAATCCCTAACAACAAAAACATATTCTATGTCACTAGCACCATAGAACTGACAAAATTGCAGCGAAGTCACTTCAGTATATTGGGCATAACATACAAATCTGACAAAATCTGAAAGTTATATTAGCACTTTTAGAATCTTAGGACCATTACTAATGGCGTGAAAAAAATCACATTGGAGGATTCCGGGGGGAAAACAATTAAAACTTTAACTGAAATCCAATTTTATTTTCAAAATTAATCTTAAAGGCAACTCAGAACACTCACATATTTTATATTATACACATATACTAAACACACAAATTACTGCACTAAAAATAAGTTAATACCTTGCTTTTCAATAATAATGCCAAGATTTGTAATTTTAAAATGTATTTAATTTTGTAATACAGTTCTATTTTTACTCCACTTTTTCTCTGATCCCACTGAAAAAAACAACTAACTACATTTTCTCTTTTTTGATGCTATTTTCGAAGTGTCCCGTTGGAATGAAGCCAAGATTATTGTGTTTTCTAAAAAGCTCAACCCCTTAAGAGTTCATTTGTACACATTTGATAATAAATATCTTATTTTCATTTTTTGAATTTTGGCCAATGGCAGCGACCACTGTGCAATGGCAACGTACACAGCAATAATCGAAATGACATGTTTCTAGTTTAGTCAACGGTGACTGAATGACATGTCAATTTCTAGCCTACCAAAGTTTTTATACTCAAATAACCCAACGACTGATCCATGATGAAAATCAAATGACCAATAAAAATCTCTTTTATGATAATTTATTGACCATTCGCCATGAAATTCAGTTGAAAACTTTGAAAGTAGAGGAGAGTACATTGGGAAATTAGTATTAGTAAACATTGATCTCTTCCCATCATATTGTTTAAACGTCGAAAAAGATAATGAGTACCACCGACACTCACAGCCCAACAGCAGGCAAACTCCCATAGGTAGGCTGGGATACGTGCCATCATGTCACAACCACTGTTATTTAATTTTTATACTTTGTGCATTTGTTTGTAACAGGCAAAAGGAAACGAGATAGACCCATAGTTCCTTTTGATGATCTGCATAGAATCACATTCTGAGTCGATTTATGCATGTCCGTCCGTCCATGTATTTTTGTGAACAATGTACAGTTCGCATTTATTACCCGATCCAGATGAAAATTTGCACAAATCATTTGTTTGGCCCAAGGACGAACCCTATTGAAATTGGAGATTCGGTAGCTCCCATATATATCTTGGTCCGATTTTCCTTTTATTATGCACCAAACGTGTAATATCAGCCCGAATAGTATGGAATGCACATACAACGAAATTAGGCCTGAAAATAAGTATGCCAAATTTGATCGAAATCGGTTCAGATATAGCTATAGGTTCAATATATATTGTTCATCCGATTTGTTATTTTAGTCCTCCACAGCCGTAATATGCACTCTGTAACAACAATATTTGGGGAAATATATCAAATACAGCTCAGAAATACCTTTGCTAGATTTTATCGAGATCGGTTCGGATTTGGATGTATCTCATATATATATATAACTTCGGCCGATTTACATTTTATTGTGCACCAAACATGTAATATTTGCCCAAATGGGTTGAAATTTGGCACTTACGACCGAATTGAGTCTAGAAGCTAGTATGGTGAAGATCGGTTCAGATATAGCTATAGCTCCCATATATATGGTTCATCCGATTTGTTATCCACAGCCGTAATATGCACTCCGTAACAACGATATCCAGAGAAATATATAAAATACAGCTCAGAAATATCTTTGCCAAATTTTATCAAGATCGGTTTAGACTTGGATATAGCTCCCATATATATCAAATGGGCAATACAAGTCCGAATTTAAAAGATAAAATTCTTCGGCATATTTAGTCTTTTGAATTTTAAATTATAATTATAATCATAGCGTGTATGATTGAATTCTCCCATAAAAACTTTTAATTGTTATGTGGAGCTCTACTAAATTAGCATTCTTGTGAACAAAATCCAGGTCGCATTTAATATCCAATTGAGATGAAATTTTGGAAACAATATTTGTTTGGCCCAAGGACGAACCTTATTGAAATTGGTGATAGTCGGATCAGATTTAGATATAGCTCCCATATATCTTCAATCGATTTCAGGCTAATTGTGCACCAATTGGCCAATATAAGTCCAAATTAACTGAATTTTGATACATCCCACCGAATTCAATCTAAAAGCAAGTACCTCAAATTTGGAGGAAATCGACTCAGTTATAGCTATAACTTCCATATATATGTTTCATCCGATGCGTAATATTTGGTACCGAAAATCAGATACTGCTTTAAAATACCTTTGTCACATTTTATGGAGATCGGTGCAGATTAGGCTATAGCTCCCAATCATATCTTCAACCGATTTCGGGTTAATTGTGCTTCAAATAGCCAGTATCAGTCCAAATTCACATGCGTAATATTTGGTACCGGATACTAATTAAAAGTAACTCTGTTAAATTATATCAAGATCGCTTCAGATTTGGATATACCTCCCACATATTAACAATGATATTTGATACCAGAGCTCAGAAATGCCCTTGCCAAATTTTATAGAGAACGGAGATTTGGATATAGCTCCCATATATCCTTAATTCGATTTCAGGTTTATTGTGCAAATAATGGCTAATATCAACCCAAATGGAGTGAATTTCGGGACGTACGTTTCCATTTTGTGGAACTCGGCCCCGATATATATTTTTTTAATATAACCTTCTCGATGTGATATCATATCATCACCCTATATTGGTATAAAAGATAAAAATGTCTCCTTCAAATTTAGTGAAAATCGACTCAGAAATGGATATGACTCCCATGTATTAGTTCCCTCTGAAACCAAACTATGATTGCTCTAAAGCTAAATGTTGATAGGTGGTATGATCTACTTCAAGTGATTTTTTTTATGGGAGCTCTACTAAATATGCATAGCGGTGTAGGGTATCATATAGTCGGTTTGGTCTTTGTTTTTGCAGAACAAAACTGCAACGCAGATGCTTTTTTCTTAAAAAAAGAATAAAATGTGAATGTTCTGTTTTTTTTTTTTTTTTGTCTTTCAAAATCACATAGTCTTTCTTAACTTCAATTTCCTATAGCAAACTTTTAGGCGTATTAAAAATACCTAAACCAAAAATGTATAACAGTTTCAACTACAGATAACAAATTGGTTTTGCTGTTGGCAAAGTTTTTTTGTCTTATACCAGGTGGCTCTCATCATGTTTTGCATAGTCAACATGCTGATTTACGCGTTCAACCCACTCGACTTCGAAAACACATTTTGTCGTTTTTCAAGAATTTCACTTGATTTTTCCCGAACTTTTCGATGCCATCACGTACTTTTCACATTTCTTTTATTATGAAACAATTATCAACTGACAAATGAAGATATAGACAACGAAATGCTCTCACCGTTTATCTTCGAAAAAACGAATCAGCAGATGTCGTCTATAGCGTTTGAGGGGTTTGAGTGAGAAAAATTGAAGAGTTTTAACAATAACGGTTAGTGTGCCAATAATTTTATTTGGCATTGCATACATATTACATTACATATTTTTGTTTGTAACTTAAAAATTCTCCAAACAAAATTACAATTTAGTCATGTGTAGTTTTAATCAACAACGGATATGTTCAAAATTTAATCATCAATGTGAGTTCGTTCGAACCTGATAACTGTATGTACTGGTACTCAAATATGTCAATTGTATGGAATATGGCGAAAAGATAGAATCTAACGCGACTTCATTATCTTATAGAAAAATATATTTTATATTTTGGAAAAGATAATAACAACATTTAGCAGATTTTCGTTTAAACGTTTTAACAAATCGGTATAAACAACAAATTATTTTAACATTTCTGTTAAACTTTGAAACTTATGGAAGAAATAAAAAATGGTAGAAATTTCAAAGCCGGTTCATTTTTGAAGGTTCTTGAACAGAGCATTAATTAATTGTTGTTATGACAATGTTATTCATCATCATGAGTACATATAACCTTATAAACAGATAAGGTTTTGTCAACCACGCCTAATATTATATTCGTCACAGCCCCTACAGGGTGAGATGAATAAACTGCAACCAACTTCAAACTGCTGTCATTTCTAGGCCACTCGTCCGACAACTGTTAAAATTATTCCAGTGACAGCTCATTATATTGTTTACCAGCGTCCAAAAGCATTTTGGTGAGAATTTTCCAGAAAAAATGTTATTCGTGATGGAATTCAAGCGTGATAGTGTGATTTCTTTATATTTGGCTGGAAAACCACAAGTGGTTATCGTAAGGGCACTCCAACATTTAAATGTGGATAAATCTTTTGTGCCTCGTACCATCGCTCGTTACCGTGATACCGGTAGCGTAGCCCGACGTTTAGGAAGTGGACGGAGACGAAAAGTAAAGAAGCGACTTGATCGAAACCCGCGTCGCGGTGGCCGAAAAATCGCTCGGGAGTTGAACATATCGCAATATTCCATTCGCAAATATTGAAAAAATGAGCTCGGGTTAAAGCCATTGAAATTCCAAAAAGTGCAAGAAATTACTTCGCAGCCCAAAGAAAATAGACTCCAAAAAAGCTAAAGAGTTGCCTCGCTTGGCCGAAAGTGGTGACCAGTGGTGGTAAGCAAACAAAATGATCGTGTTTACTTGCCAAAGAGCAGCTGAAAATATGCACCCTCGGTTGGCCATCAGAACTCAAGCGCCGGCCATGGCGATGGTTTGGGCCGCCATAACAGCCGATGGTCGCTCTCCGCTCGTATTAATTGACCGTGGCAACAGAATAAATGGCGAATATTATCGCGAAAATATTCTGGAGGGTGTATTAAAGCCTTATGCACGGAAACATTTTGACGTCAGAACTTGGACATTCCAATAGGACTCGGCACCATCGCACTCAGCACTCGCCACCCAAGAATGTTTACAAAATGAGGTTCCCCCCTTCATTTCCAGCGCACAAAGGCCACCAAAATCTCCGGATACCAATCCGTTGGACTATTGTGTCTGGACACTAAAAATACCAAAGTGCCGATCACCTCAAGCAAGAGCATCGCCGGGAATGGGCCCAAATGTCGCAGAGCAACATTCGGGCAGCGTGTGACGGTTTCTTTGGCCGTTTGAAGGTCATAATTCGTGCCAGGCCGAACTTTTAATACCCTCCACCTCAGGTTAAAGGAAACATTACAACCCATTATGACCCACAAATACCAATTTTTAGACAAAATCAAAATTTTTGTGGCAAAAATCATCAAAATATCGAATATCGCGAGGTACCGCTATATGGGGCTATACAAAAACGTAAACCTACACATACAAAATACCGAATATCTGTGGGTACCGTTATATGGGAGATATGCCAAAACGTGGACCTATACATACAATGTTTCGCTACCGCAGCCAGAACCCATTATGACCAAGAAATAAAAATTTTCAGACAAATTCGTGAAAAAAATTGGCAAAAATCATCAAAATATCGAATTTACAAATTTTATATCATATTAATCATAACACAAGTCAAAATATATTTCAATAATCGAACATAGACTGAGGGTGTACATCTGTCGGCAAACCCGACTGATACTTTTCTACTTGTTTTTTTAAAATAATTTGTAAGTGTTATTTAATAACGCTGAGAATATAGATATTTACCTCAAAAAATGTTTTAAAATGTGAGACAA